GGTGGGAGTGCAATGGCGTGATCTTGGCTCACCCCAACCTCTGCCTCCTGGATTCAAGCGATTCTCCTGCCTCAGCCTCCTGAGTAGCTGGGATTACCACACCCGGCTAATTTTGTATTTTTAGTAGAGATGGGATTTCTCCATGTTGGTCGGGCTGGTCTAACTCCTGACCTCATATGATCTGCCCACCTCAGCCCCTCAAAGTGCTGGGATTACAGGCATGAGCCACGACGTCCAGCCTCTCTTTCTTTTTTACTTACCTACTATACTGCAATAATAAATATGATGAAGTAGGCTAAAAAGAGACTGAAAAATCCTCTAACAAAAAATCCAATTGCTTTCATGAAGTAGTTTATTTATTGCTGTAACCACAACACAAATGGTAGCTAGCTGGTCCTACCTCAATATTCTAAGAATGGTCTCATCCTCCCTCAGAAAGTCTGTATGTTCTCACCTAGTGCTGGTAGCATTACAGATAGTTAGACATCTGTAACAGAACCTGTTGTTGCAGGGCCTCTAACCCAAGGCCAGAGGTAGTGGCTATTTAGGTCACCATCATATCTATGATGGCCTCATTATGTGTCCTACTGAATGTCAAAGAAATAAAACACTTCCTGTTTTAAAGATATTAAAGTACAGTACTTAAGTAATGCACATATGAGGTATAAAAGTTTCTAGACTAAGATTCCTGGTTTGACCAATTTCTAACTAAGAAATCACTAAGGTTTTCTTAATGCATTACAGAATATGGCTAAATTCAGAATAAAATATTTTTAGCTTACATACATCTATAGCTCTGAAGAGTATAAAACAGGAAAACTAGCTGCTAAGTACTCTAATATTATCTATAATAAAGACTTCCCACGCAAGGAAATAAAAAACACAAGCATGATGGTAAAGTAGAATGTTGTCTGTGATACAGACTCTTTCCAAAGAATACAGGACATGGTGCATCCTAATAGTTAATAGTTCATTTAAGATTGGGCATGACTAGCCTGGCCAACATGGCAAAACCCTGTCTTTACTAAAAATACAAAAATTAGCTGGGTGTGGTGGCATGCACCTGTGGTCCTAGCTGCTCGGGAGGCTGAGGCAGGAGAATCACTTGAATGCAGGAGGTGGAATTTGTGGAAAGGAAGGGAAAGGAAGGAAAGGGAAGGGAAAGGGAAAGGGAAAGGGAAAGGGAAGGGAAGGGAAGGGAAGGGAAGGGAATGGGAAAGGAAGGGAGGAAGGAAGGAAGGAGAAAGACTGGGCATGAACAGTTTCAAAGAAAGAAAAATAAAAACTTATGCTGGTAAAAGGCCATTAAAATAAAATATTAAGTTAAAACCATTACATAAACTTAAATACGTTTCCCGTGATTCAAATTATCGTCCAGAGAAAAATGGACAATGGTCAGGTCCAGTTGCTTGCTTTTTTTTTTTTAACCTTGTCTCACTTGATGTTAAGAGAAAGAAACAGAGACCAGGAAAGACCCCTCTGGGCTATCTTTAAGGAAGCTAAAGCTTTCCAGAGACTATAAACTAGCTTAATTAACTACACTTAACTAGAAGGAATTTAGACTTATCAAAAAAATTTTTGAATCAGATTTTAGATGAATCTAAGTCATCAAGCCAAAAATCTTCTATTGTCTTGATTTTATTTTTGAGTATTCATTCCCAAAATCATTAGTTCTTATAAAATTTGCCAGTTCTTACTGAGCCTAAATTAGGCAAAAATTTAACCCTTAGTATAACAAACATCCACTATTGTGTTTGAAACAGATGTTTTAACCAAAGGATATAATCCAAAGATATCATCCTTAGTTATTAGCATACTGTTTAATATTCATCACAGCTTGTTTTAAAGAACAAAAATGTGTTAACATTTAAGCCTGAAGGGCTATGAATATACTATATACTGTACTTGATGCAGCTTGTTTATGCAATTTTCTGACAGATGCAATTAATCTTGTGAAAATTACTGGGGTATAGCATAGTAGCAAATTATCTTTTCCAAATACATACTTTTCCTGTGTTAAAACCCCCTTATAACACTGACAATGATAAAAGCATATGGAAAGAACTTTAGAAGTTAATTATTTAAAAAAAAGAAATTAAAAGTTATTAAATTAATAAATATTGGTTATGTGGTAGAAACAAGGGTTAAAATGTTTCTTATAAGTAAGAATGAAATAAATTAGTCTGTACCTCCAACAAATGCATCTCCAGCTCCATTGGTGTCAATAATTTCTTTCTGGTCTTGATCCAAGACAGCAAAAGCAGTGACTTCACTTTCTGTAATTAGAGTCAAAGAAAGGCAGACTGACTTCTCTTTGTAACTCTCAATACAAGCTCACTCAGTAACATCTGAAACTCCTTCATCACTCATCATTCAAAGAGAGGACATAAGCTCCATATTCTGTACAGGAGCACCTGGGAACTAAGGTGCAAAATCATCTGCAAGTAATACTTTTCTGGTAATTTTCTTCCTTTTTTTTTTTTCCTTAGCCCTGCCTAAGCAGGACATTAAAAAATTTGGCTATAAACCCATAATTGCTCCTCTCCAAGGAAATCTTTAGTAAAAGGTGAAAAATTTATTTGTTATGAAGAGAAACCAGTGCATTTTTTTTTTGGTAATTTTCAGCATACAGATGCTGCTGTATGTGTCTTATGAAGTTCACATTTTTTTTGGAATGACTATAAATGACAGCAGTACCTTTTTGGACAGTGCAAATGAACAGAAGCCATAAGCTAAAGGAAGTGTTGGAATGGATTGGGTGATGGGTTTCTAACAAAGCTTCAAGCCTGACTATACTCCTGACAGTGAAATGTTGGATATAGTTAAAGAGCTGTACATTTTTAAAAATATAAATAATGAATCTTGGGTGTTTCTTTATAGAAAATCACAACGACACAATAAAAACATTACTATTCTGTTAAAATACTTCATGCCAGTGTCAAGGATTTTTTTATTTTAGTTGTTTTATTACAAATAACCTAATCTGGTTATGTTTTGCAAAGAAGTCACTATACGTCAACTGGCAAAAAGGAAAGCTACTACTGAATGCAAGGGCAGAATAAAAGAGACAGTGCAACGGGGCCTTGCCCTAGATACAGCAGTCTGGACCAGGGCTTGGTTGTTTTGACTACAGAGTAACCGAATTCAGTACTTTAAATGTGGCACATGACCGGGGAATGGACTTATCTGTGATGAAATCTGGCTTACAGGACATCTGTAAATGATTGGACAATGCTTCTTATTGGGGGCTGGAACTTCTGAAATCATAAATTTGCATCCCTATGGGGACAGATGTGGCTAAAGACTTGTAAACTTCAATCTCATTTAAGAACAAAAGGGAGGCAAAAGGAGATCTTGAGAACCTTAATAAAGAACATAGAGAATCTTCAAAAGCATATTCTGTATAGCTTTTGCTGCCTGCTCTTAATGGATAGTTCAACAAGAGACATAAATATGTTAATAAAAAGACTCTCCTGGAGATACTGATATTCAAGAAGAGGACATATTTATTTAGTCGATCTTTTTAAAAATCTTTTTTTTTTCAGGTCTTGCTCTGTCATCCAGGCTGGAGTGCAGTTATGTAATTGTAATATACCCCAGCCTCACCCTCCTGGGCTCAAGGGATCCTCCTGTCTCAGCCTTCCATGTAGTTGGGACCACAGACATGCAGCACCACAGCTGGCTAATTTTTTGATTTTGTTTTTTTGGGTAGAGATATGGTCTCATTTTTTTGTTCAGGCTGGTCTCAAACTCCTGGGCTCAAGCAATTTGCCTGCCTTGGTCTCACAAAGTGTTAGGATTACATGAATGAGCCACTGCACCTGGCTTAAACTCTCTCTTTTTTTTTTTTTTTTTTTGAGATGGAGTCTCATTCTGTTGCCCAGGCTGGAGTGCAGTGGCATGATTTTAGCTCACTGCAACCTCTGCCTCCTGGTTCAAGCAATTCTCATGGCTAAGCCTCCTGAGTACCTGGGATTATAGTCACATGCCACCACATCCGGCAAACTTTTGCATTTTTAGTAGAGGCAGGGTTTTGCCATGTTAGCCAGGTTGGTCTCAAACTCCTGACCTCAAGTGATCTGCCTACCTCACCCTCCCAAAGTGCTAGGATCAGAGGGGTGAGCTACCATGCCCGGCCACACACTTTCCGTAACTAAACATTCCACATTTTGTAACATGAGGGCCTACATGGCAGGTGACAAGGTTTTGATTACTTGGAAGTTATAGGACAAATTTCCAGGATTACATTTTCTGGAGAGTATATGTAGTACATACTACTATACAGGCAAATAAATAAATAAATAAGAAGTAAGTAGACTTTATTAGAAATAATTGGGAAAGGTCTGCAGTCTGATTTAGGAAAAGGTCTGTACTATAAATAGTTATAAAGAAATCTGCTTTTACTACTTCCAAGTACAAGCTACACTATACAGGGAACGAACAACTATAAACCAAAGCCAAACAGGTACTAAATATGTAAAATGAACTAAGTTAATGACACCATTACTATTTATAATACATTTATATTATGTAATAACATTCTATAAAACATTTTAGGCAATAGAATTAATCACTAGATTTATAGATTTGAAAATAATTATATATAAATGGTAAGTAAACCAAAATTACATAGAATTCCTTGAGCTCCTTATTTGAAAACAATTTTTTTGCTGCATAAATATTTATGAACAGAACTTAATCGACAATGGAAGAGATTATTTTGAATTTTATTCTTAAGAATCATGACTTCTGGCTGGGCGTGATGGCTCATGCCTGTAAACTCAGAAATTTAGGAGGCAGAGGCAGGCAGATCACAAGATCAGGAGTTCAAGACCAGCCTGGCTAACGTGGTGAAACCCTGTCTCTTCTAAAAATACAAAAAAAAAAAAAAAAAAAATTAGCTGGGTGTAGTGGTGCATGCCTGAAATCCCAGCTACTCTAGAGGATGAGTCAGGAGAATTGCTTAAACCCGGGAGGTGGAGGTTGCAGTGAGCCAAGATCATGCCACTGCACTCCAGCCTGGGTGACAAAGTGAGGCTTTGTCTTGGAAAAAAAAAATCACGATTTCTTGATCTAAATTGCTGAAAATTCTAAATAAATGCAGTTTCATAATACTTTTTTCTGCATATATATGTCGATCATTGAGATACTTTATCCTTAGTTGTCATATGAAGTTCAATTTCCTGAAATACAAAGTGGAATTATTTTTTACCTTTTATAATTATCAGTACAGGTAAGTATATATCACATATGCAAAAGATGTGTCATAAACTCAGTTTTCATTATTATATACTATCTACAGAACTAGAAGAATGCCTTTCAAAATAATGACACTGGGCCGGGCGCGGTGGCTCACGCCTGTAATCCCAGCACTTTGGGAGGCCGAGGCGGGTGGATCACAAGGTCAAGAGATTGAGACCATCCTGGTCAACACGGTGAAACCCCGTCTCTACTAAAACTACAAAAAATTAGCTGGGCATGGTGGCACGTGCCTGTAATCCCAGCTACTCAGGAGGTGAGGCAGGAGAATTGCCTGAACCCAGGAGGCAGAGGTTGCGGTGAGCCGAGATCGCGCCATTGCACTCCAGCCTGGGTAACAAGAGTGAAACTCCGTCTCAAAAAAAAAAAAAAAAAATAATAATAATAATAATGACACTAAAAAATCTGCAAGATCTCGAAATATGCTCTTCATTATGCAAGAAAGATTAAAAAATATTTAAGAATATTTATGTTTTATTACATTTTTAGTATGTTCCGATTTTCAAATGACTGAAGCTGGTTTACAAAGCTATTAAAAACAATCACAGGTGGCTGGCAAGAAGGCTGAATAGGAACAGCTCCGGTCTGCAGCTCCCAGTGAGATCAATGCAGAAGGTGGGTAATTTCTGCATTTCCAACTGAGGTACCTGGCTCATCTCAGTGGGACTGGTTAGACAGTGGGTACAGCCCACAGAGGGCTAGCCAAAGCGGGGGGGAGTGGGCATTGCATCACCTGGGAAGTACAAGGGATTGGGGAACTCCCTATCCCAGCCAAGAGAAGCTGTGAAGGACTATGCCGTGATGAACCATACACTCCAGCCCAGGTACCATGCTTTTCCCATGGTCTTCGCAGCCTGCAGACCAGGAGATTCCTTTGGGTGCCTACGCCAGCAGGGCCCTGGGTTTCAAGCACAAAACTGGATAGCGGTTTGGACAGATACCAAACTAGCCGCAGGCGTTTTTTTTTCATATCCCAGTAGGGCCTGGAATGCCAGTGAGACAGAACCGTTCACTCCCCTGGAAAGGGCGCCGAAGCCAGGGAGCCAAGTGGTCTAGCTCAGCGGATCCTACCCCCATGGAGCCCAGCAAGCTAAGATCCACTGGCTTGAAATTCTCGTCGCCAGCACAGCAGTCTGATGTTGACCTGGGGTGCTTGAGCTTAGTGGGGAAAGGGGCATCCACCATTACTGAGGCTTGAGTAGGAAGTTTTCCCTTCACAGTGTAAACAAAGCCACCGGGAAGTTGGAACTAGGCGGAACCCACCACAGCTCAGCAAAGCCACTGTGGTCAGGCTGCCTCTCTAGATTCCTCCTCTCTGGGTAGGGCATCTCTGAAAGAAAGGCAGCAACCCTAGTCAGGGGCTCATACATAAAACTCCCATCTCCCTGGGACAGAGCACCTGGGTGAAAGGTCGGCTGTGGGCACAGCTTCAGCAGACTTAAATATTCCTGCCTGTCAGCTCTGAAGAGAGCAGTGCATCTCCCAGAGCTCAAGCTCTGCTAAGGGACAGACTGCTTCCCCAAGTGGGTCCCTGACCCCCATGCTTCCTGACTGGGAGTACCTCCCAGCAGGGGTCGACAGACATCTCATACAGGAGAGCTCCCACTGGCATCTGGCAGGTGCCCCTCTGGGACGAAGCTTCCAGAGGAAGGAAAAGGCAGCAATCTTTGCTGTTCTGCAGGCTCTGCTGGTGATACCCAGGCAAACAGAGTCTGGGGTGGACCTCCAGCAAACTCCAGCAGATCTGCAGCAGAGGGGGCTGACTATTAGAAGGAAAACAAGCAATCAGAAAGGAATAGCATCAACATCAATAAAAAGGATGTCCACACAAAAACCCCATCTGAAGGTCACCAGCATCAATGACTAAAGTTAGATAAATCCATGAAGATGAAGAAAAACCAGCTCAAAGAGGCTGAAAATTCCAAAAACTGGAATGCCTCTTCTCCTCCAACGGATCACAACTCCTTGCCAGCAAGGGGACAAAACTGGACGAAGAATGAGTTTGATGAATTGGCAAAAGTAGGCTTCAGAAGGTGGGTAATAACAAACTCCTCCAAGCTAAAGGAGCATGCTCTAACCCAATACAAGGAAGCTTTTTTTCAAGAACCTTGAGAAAAGGTTAGAGGAATTGCTAACTAGAATAATCAGTTTAGAGAAGAACATAAATGACCTGATGGAGGTGAAAAACACAGCACAAGCACTTTGTAAGGCATACACAAGTATCAATAACTGAATCGATCAAGCAGAAAAAAGGATATCAGAGATTGAAGATCAACTTAATGAAATAAAGCATGAAGACAAGACTAGAGAAAAAAAAAATGAAAAGGAATGAACAAAGCCTCCAA